CTCCTCCTCCTCCTCCTCCTCCTCCTCATTGCGGGTGGTTGGAGATTGCCACTGGTAAGTCCTACTTCTTTACTTTCCATCTGTCTGTCTGTGCTTTCTTTTGTTCCCACCACTAAATAACACTCTCTGTTACGTTGATAGAGACTGGTTCAGGTATACTCTCACCAAATTTGGTCAAATTGTGGTTAGTAAATAAGAATAGGGATTTTAAATGTATTGATTATTTTCAAGATGACTGTCGTTTCCATAGCAACCGCTTTAGCTATGCAAAAATAAAAGTATATATCCAGACATTTTCTTTGCCTAACTTAATATGTATTCTTAGATTTGATCTCGGGCAACGAACATAGAAAATGGACCTGGAGGGTCGCTCTTACTGTTAACAACAACAACAACAGTTTAGTTCCCCACACTACCACACGTTCAGCCTGAGACGGCCATGAAATTATCGCCACTGGACCCAAAAAACGTCATTGTTTTCCCCCACAGTCCACGAAAACAGGGGGTGAATAAATTCACAACGCAGGCCTATTCGGCTCGAAAACCTGCCTTACTTTTAATACAGCAGTGTAGGATTATGATGTAAGTCCATGGCTGGTAGATCTATAGACTGCAGAACAGAATATAATTAGGCTTAGAATGATCGAAAGTAGAATTATCAAAAGTGGGACTTATAGATTGGAGTCAGTAAGTTTTTGAATGTCGGTCTGTCCCAATTTTATTTTAGTTTAGTTTCAGAAAACGTTTTACATCATTTGCATCATAATAACGTCATATAAGTGCCAAATGTGTTACGAACAAAAATAAGAAGGGGAGATAAGGACAATAGAATTTTGCAAGGAAAGAAAAAGCAAACCACACCTAGGCACCTGCCAACCGCCCACCCCAATTTTACCTATAACGAAGATGGAAAGGTCAAGAAATGGTGAAGTCTTCTTTTGGGTAGAGTAAGCAAATTTGATGCTATCAATGAGCTGCTGAAGTAAGTGAGAAGTTTCTGTTTTGAAGCTAGCTTAGTGCAGGAACATGCTGTTGTCTGTGCACTGCAATTTTTTAAATTAAAAGGTTGATTGGGAAAGAAATGTGGATGGGGAGTCAGATGAAGCAAGATCAATGTTATTAACCCTTTCGACACCGGATTTGCTGTATAATCTCACCAAACGACTTCTAATGATCGTCTTAGGGAAGGCAGTGGAAGGTTTACCAACCCGAGCCCCTTAATTTTATACTTTCTTTCCCCTCTGCCCCCCCCCCATCCCCCCTCCACTCTACACTTCTCAGTTCCTCTCTCCCGACGCTGTTAACACTCCCCTTGGCATTATTTGCGGAGAGCCTGAAGACGTCGCCGAGATAATCGCGTTCTACGCGTCAGATGCTGCAAGACTCATCACCGGGGATAACAACGTCAGCGATGCTGGAATCAGTCTGCCCTTTCTCTTCAAAATGCCTTCCAAAGGGAAGGAATCATGATTCAGCCTTCTCGCTTATATTCCGTCACTTTTCTTGAGTACATTGATTATTTTTTATGTTTTGAAAAGAAATAAATGTCTGTTTAATTTTTATTGTACACATTAGAGTGCCATATTCAGATTTGGGGACCCATTTCCACACTGACTTGAAATATTTACCGTTTTTTAATATTTATATAAGTATTTTTTGAAAACCCAAGAGAGGCATAGTATATTTAATTTTGTTCTGATTACTTTTGTTTTCATGCCAAAGAGTTTTTCTTTCTTTTTAATGTGATGCATATAATGTGTAGCTTTCAAACATACGTCAATTATTTTTGATATTCTGAAGTTGATATCTTTTTGCCTTTCTTAGCAAAAGTGTGACCTTGGCTTCTTCTTGGCCGTATTTAGTTCACACTTTGACCATTTTTCAATTGTCAGAGGTCTATGAAAAAACTAACTAAGCCCAGTATATGAATAAGCACCCGTGACTCTAGACTGAAGAAGTTTGGTTTCCGCCTTTTCGAAGAGAAGATGGCGGATTCCAAACTGGCACAGATTGTGCGCCCATATACCATGTGACTGTTGTAAAAAATACATGGTACTTAATATACTAGATCTATATTCACATTTTTGTCCTCTTTTGTGGTATTTCCTCTCCTCACTCAATGTGGTACCTTAGCTTAAAAACCCCCCAACTAAATTAGAGGAAGTACACCAACACAATAACAATCATTTATTTCTTGGAAAAGGTTGGACAGACTGGAAAGAAGGAGGGAAGTAAAAAAAAGGGACTATAGATAACACCGTTCAACCCACATGTTATCGTTTTTCCCCCAACGTTAGATTCTGATATAGAAGCGAAAAAGCGACCGGCAAGACCATCAAGATTTATGTATTTCTGGCAGTTGAGCATATATACGCAAGATACAGGGCTCTTCTTTTTAGTAAATATTGGGTTGTCTAGAACAAAACGAAACCGCGTTGCTGAAAATAATATTACATGCCGTCAACACTCAGTCGTACAATCCCGCGCGATGGTCTCCAACAGTAGTTTAGGATCACTGTCGTTTCTTCTTTCACTTGCCGTTTGAAGTACTGCCACTGATGAAACCGTCTAATTCGCTTTTATATTTGACAACACAAAATCCTGTTTCTGATTCTTCATTTTTAGTAGGCTGTATAGAGCAGGCAAATCTAAGCTAAGTTTCCCTTTTTGCATGTATTGCACAATCCAAGAAGTCGTTTTTACTCTCATTGTAATGTTAGTATACACATACGACCGTAAAAATGGAGAGACGAACACACACGACAGCAAGCATTCTAACAATGAGCCCGGGTGTAGTGTCTGA